AATGTGTACCAGTGACCATCCCCCATGCTGTCCACCTCAGCATGCAAAACAAGGAATGCTCTCTTCCCAAACCCAGTAGAAAATTGGAAATGTATTTCATGAATCTAGGAACAGCACAAAGAGAGTCAAAACTATTCAAGAAGAGGAATATGCTAGTCTTTACTCAAGATAGCACATTGTCCAAGAAAAGGCACATACTCAGACTAGTGTATCTGGTTCACAAAATTATCTTCTACATAGGTTTTACTCTCCTATACAATTAATAGTAGTGATTGGGTGGGATATCAGTTTTTCCCAAACCTTATACATTATCACACTTTTTGCCTTTTCTTGTCTGTTAGGCTTTCCTTTTTGTATATTTAACTCATTCAAATATGAATCAGGTGGAATTTCATTTAACATTTATGTAATTTACATTTTCTGCATATGGTACACTTTCCTGGTTATTTCACTTTAAGCTTTTCACAAGCAGTATGTAGGCAAGATTTTAAGTTTTGATTCGATAATTGTTGATTAATTGAACAAAACTTGAGAACAACATTAGCTGGGAATTACTGTCCTTACATTGCTGATGAAAAGCATTATATAAGATTCAATCAGATAATCTCTTTTTGTGCATTGATAGGTTTGGATTAAGTTGCTTGGTATATTCTTGGCTTTTACCTTCATTTTAAAAGTCTGTTCTCCGTTCCATTGACGCTAAAGCTTTTCATATTTATTTATCAGTTTTTAACTTTTTAACATTTTAGAAAACTTAGAGAATATTTCTGTTCTTATGATAACTACTCAAGTTATTTATATGACTAAATCCACATGTATGTAATCACATAAACACTATATATTTTTCTATGCCCTACATTATTATTATTTTTCTTTCCACAGTGTTATTCTACTGCATTTTCTCCTTGCACATTCTACTTCTTCCCTACCTGAGTTAGTATCTTTAGAATCATCTCAGTGACTGGTTGGTGGAAACTACACACCAGGAGTATTTTTAGGACAGTAACTTCAGATTTTATCTAATGTGTTGAAAATCTACAGCTCCAATGTACAAATAACAAAAGCAATAAACACAAAAGCCATCCACACAATAATCAGAACATCAATCCATTCTCTTCCTCCTATCAGCCATTGTCCCTGGGCTTCCCATTTTCCTGATGCTTTTCACCTGCTGGCCACATGTTCCTTCCTTTTAGTTCCTCCTTGTCTCTGTACCTAGAGTAAAATGGCCACATGTGGTTAAAGAGGAATGCCTTGCACAGTTTACTGCCATGTTATATTTCATAGCAAATAACCAACAACAGCTGGAGTGTTCGTCAACAGAGGAAGGACAGTACAAACTAGACAAGCTGTGATGTGGTGCCAGGCAGCAGCAGAACCTATCCCTGCTAACGTGATAAAACCTACAGGATTTATTATTGAGTTCATAAAACTAGTTACAAAAAGCTATGCACAGGGTGTATCATATTGCACCAAGTAAAAAACTATTAATGGAATACGATGTATTGTCTGTTGTTTTACATATTTGTAGATGATGTAGATTTACAGTAAAACTCCTGGGAGCTTCACCTGCAAATTGAAAGATGAACGGAGAATTGGGGTGATGAGTGATGAAAGGGCCAGGATTGTAGGGGAAGTCAGAGGGGACTGTGATCCATATGTAGTGTTTTATGACTTTCAATAATTCCTGGATTCGTGAATTTCTCTTAAACATGATGAAAAGTCATAAAAGCTATCATCGAGGGTTATTCATATTCTTGTCTATCCGTCTCATAACAAGGCAGAGGAGGGAGGAGAAATTGTTCACCTTCTACAGAAGATTTTGTTCGAGTATCTCCTAAATAAGTGCTTCTCCTGTCTCTGGGATCATGCACCTTCACTTCATCCTCCTCTCAGGGTCCTACACTTTGATTATATTACAGATATGGGTTTTTTTTGTCTTTTCCTATAGAATTTAACTAGTGTTTCCTCGCTTTTAAATACAATTATTCACTATTAGTAAAATGTGATTGATGTTGATTTATTTTGAACTGAATTAGATAAATTGGATGAATATTCTAGGATAACTACTAACTTGTTTTAAAATGTAGTTTACAAGCTGGGGGTGATGGCACAGGCCTATAATCCCGGAGGCTAAGGAGACTGAGGCTGAAGGATTGCAGGCTCAAAGCCAGCCTCAGCAATTTAGTGAGATCCCATCTCAAAATAAAAATAACTTGGGCTGGGGTTGTGGTTCAGCGGTAGAGCACTTGCCTACCATGTGTGAGGCACTGGGTTCGATCCTCAGCACCACATATACCTAAATAAATACAATAAGGATCTATCAATAACTAATAAAAATATTTAAAAAAATAACTCAAAGTGGATCAAGAACGTAGGCATTAGACCAGAGATGCTACAACTGACAGAAGAAAAAGTAGGACCAAATGTACATCATGTTGGCTTGGGAAACAACTTCCAATCCAGACTCCTAAAACACAAGAAGTAAAATCAGAATCAACAAATGGGACAGATGCAAAATCAAATGCTTCTTCATAGTAAAGGAAACAATCAAGAATGTGAACAGAGAGCCTACAGAATGGAAGACAATCCTTGCCAAGAACTCAAAAAACTTAACACCAAAAAAACAAACAAACAAACAAAAAAAAAGTATCCCAACAAAAAAATGGGAAAAGGTACTGAACAGGCACTTCACAGAAGAAGAAATATGATCGGTCAGCAAATATGTGAAAAAATGTCAATATATTTATGAACAATTAGGGAAGTGCAATTAGAGAAGTGCAATTTAAAACTACTCTGAGATTTAATCTCGCTCCAGTCAGAATGACAATTATCAAGAATACAAGTAATGATAAATGTTGGAGAAGATGTGGGAGAAAAGGTACACTCATACATTGCTGATGGGACTACAAATTGGTACAACCACTGTGGAAACAGTATGGATATTTCTCAAAAAACTTGGAATGGGACCACCATTTGACCCAGCTATCCTACTCCTTAGTATATACCAAAAAGGACTTAAATCAGCATACTACAGTGATGCTGCCACATCAATGTTTATAGCAGCTTAATTCACAATAGCTCAACTGTGGAACCAGTCTAGGTTTCCTTTGGCAGATGAATGAATAAGGAAAATGTATTTATACACAATGGACTATTACTCAGCCATAAAGAGAAATGAAATTATGGCATTTGTCAGTAAATAGAGGGAACTGGAGGCTATCATGCTAAGTGAAATAATCCAACCCCCCCAAACAAAGGTGAAATGTTCTCTCTGATATGCAAATGCTAATTCACAATAAGGGAGATGGGTAGGAAAAAATAGAAATTCACTGGTTTAGACAAAAGGGAATTAAGGGAAGGGAAGGGGAATGGGAATAGGAAAGATAATAGAATGAACCAAACATTACTTTCGTATGTTCATATATCAATACACATCCAGTGTAATTACACATCATGTACAACCAGACAAATGGGAAGTTATACTCCATATATGTATAACATGTCAGAATACAATCTATGGTTATATATATATCTAAAAATACCAACAACAAAAAAAAAAAAAAAAAAAAAAAACAAAGGAAAAAGAAAAAGAAAACAAAAAGGACTGGGGATGTGGCTAAGTGATTGACCACCCATGGGTTCAATCCCCAGGTTAAAACAAAAAAAAAGGTATGATGCAGAAAATTCCATAAAACTTGTTCTAAAAGTTTTTAAAATTTTTTTTCATTTTCATTTTTTTTTAATTGGCTGGGGTTTGAACCCAGAGGCTTGTGTCATTTGCTCTACCACTAAGCTATGACCACTCGTGAAAGTGGTTAATGTTTATTTCCACTGACTTTAGACAGTCATTTTATTCTTTGACCATCTGCATTTCCTGAACCAGGTACCATAGAGTGAGTGGGGCTGGGTTGAATGACTGCTGAGGACTTGGTTGGTCTTAAGTGGCATACATTAATGGAATCAGTCCACCAGGGGGCACTCCAGGCTGCAGGAGGAATAACTTCTGTGGATTTCTAGAGCGTGAAAAAATTAATTGAGACCAGAGAATGGCAAGGGGGCATCTTCTGCTTGTGAAAGTTCATCTCAGGTCTTCAGCTTTGCCATTCTACATGAATTCTCTGAAAGCTGGAGACTGTAACGATATTTATTGGAACTCATATCTATAAATTCATTGGAAGGATGATTTTCTGAGCAGAGATTAAGAAATCAGAATTTTACTTGGCATATAAGATGGAGATCCGTTAGAAAATATCTGTTGTACCTGGTCTCATTTTTTTGTTTTATTACAGAAATTCTCAAAGTACACTGATGTAGAAATTATTCCAATACTCTTGATAGCAAAACTTTTTATATATTTTCTTTGACACTAGATGGAACAAAAAATAGGCAAGAAGAAAAAATGAAAATGAAGACCAAAGGCAGAAGAAGAAAGGGACAGGGCAATAATGACATGGGCAGCAATGTGTGGCCTGCAGGGTATGAGGGAAGGGGCTGGTTAGCAGAAGGGGAGAAGTAGAGAATAAAACATAGTGGACATCATAGGCATAGCCTCTTTTCCTTTAGACCAGTGAAACTCTTGTTGGAAACATTTTCAATGTAGAAGAAGATCCTCATTTCATGAAATGTTTTTTTTTTTTTTTATTTCTTAATGTGCATTGCATGCTATCAAATAGTTTCTTTGATAAGATTTTTCATATAATTGATTTCTCAAATTCCCTGTTAACCACAGAATGTAAGGAAATGGGCTTACTCTTCCTGTGAGTTGACACTTAAGTTATTCCCTAAAGTGTTGCTGCCCTTCTTCATATGTTTTCCCACAAATTTCTCTTACATCAGCTATTGAAGAAAAAAATAATCTTCATTCTTTGGATACATGGCCCCCTACCCCCTGCATTGTCCTCACACAATTCTGGAGCCACCACTGCTGTCTTCCTGGGCCACTGGGGGTGGAGCTCCCTGTGAGGGGGCAGGACAGGGCTCAGATGTGACAGGTGCTCAGGGAGTCAGGTGGAACCTGTTGACTGGAAGAACAAGCTTGTCTGGCCCAAGACCTGACACCTGCAGAGCAGGGAGAAGAGCCAGCAGCCAGGCCAGCAGCCATGCAGAGGGGACTGGGGGCTCTGCTGGGGCTTCTGTGGGTGCAACTTTGCTGTGAGTCGGGTTCCTCCCAGATGGGGCTGGGGGTGTTGTAGGGCTGACAGTGTGAGGGAGGGCAGGGAGACCTGGCACCAAGCCCCCTCCCTGTCCTCCATCCTCAGGGTGTTCCCTGGGGTATTCTGCAGGTTTATGAACTGGTCATGGATTCTGCAGTGACATCATCTGTGTTTGCTTTTCTCTTTCCAAGCAGGGGTGAGAGGGCAGCAGGTGGAGCAGAGTCCTTCAGCCCTGAGGCTCCAGGAGGGAGCCAGCCCTACTCTGAGGTGCAATTTTTCCACCACCATGAGAAGTGTGCAGTGGTTCCGACAGAATCCTGGGGGCAGCCTCATCAGTCTGTTTTTACTGACTCCAGGGACAAAGCAGGAGGGAAGGTTAAAGGCAACAATGAATTTTCAGGAGCGCTACAGCACCCTGAACATCTCCACCTCCCAGATGGAAGACTCAGGCACCTACTTCTGTGCAGCAGAGGCACAGTGTTCCCAGAGGAACTGCAGCCTGTCTGCAAACTGCAGCTGCACCTGCAGCCACTGCCTGTGCCTCAGGGAGGACTTGCACAGCAGCCTCTGCACAGCTATGGGTGTCCTGATTCATGTCATAGCACTGTCACCTATGGTAATGTGAGAATTCTCAGTACTGTCATTCTATTTGGGTGGGACTCTTCCACACAGAAACCCTTTGCACAAAAAATTTCTAATAAAAAAGCATTGGAGCAACTGATAAGGATGTCAGGGACCCAGATACTGTTAAAACAGGTCCCCTTTTCCCCTACATCCTCGCCAGTACTTATTGTTGCTTGAATTCTTGATAATTGACATTCTGACTGGAGTGAAATGAAATCTTAGAGAAGTTTTAATTTGCATTTCTCTAATTGCTAAAAATATTGAACATTTTTTTCATGTTTGTTGATTAATTATATTCCTTCTTCCGTGAAGTGTCTGCTCATTTCCTTAGCCCATTTATTGATTAGGTTATTATTATTATTATTATTATTATTATTATTATTGATGTTAAGTTTTTTCAATTCTTTGTATATCCTGGAGATTAGTGCTCTATCTGATGTGCATGTGGTAAAGATTTTCTCTCATTCTGTTGGCTCTCTCTTCACTTTATTTGTTTCCTTTGAACCTCTCCCATTTATTGATTCTTGATTGTATTTCTTGCAATTTAGATGTCTTGTTAAGGATGTCAGGTCCTAAGCTGACAAGATGAAGATTTGGGCCTGCTTTTTGTTCTATTAGGTGCAAAGTCTCTGTCTAATTCCTAGGTCCTGATCTACTTTGAGTTGAGTTTTGTGCGAGGTGAGAGATAGAGGTTTAATTTCATTTTGCTGGATATGGATTTCCAGTTTTCCCAGCACCATTTGTTGAAGAGGCTGTCTTTTCTTCTGGTGGGATTACAAAGTGGTGCAATCACTTTGGAAAGCAATATGGAGGTTCCTTAGACAACTTGGGAAAGAACCACCATTTGACCCAGCTATCCCTTGGTCTGTACCTAAAGGAGTTAAAATCAGCACACTACAGTGAAGCATCCACCTTGATATTCATATAAGCTTAATTCTGAATAGCTAAACTGTGGAACCAGCCTAGATGCCCTTCAATGGATGAATAGATAAGAAACTCTGGAGTTGGACACAGAGGTGCATGCCTGTAATCCCACAGACTGGGGAGGCTGAGGCAGGAGGATTGTGAGTTCAAAGCCAGCCTCAGCAAAAGCGAGTTGTTAAGAAACTCAGTGAGATCCTGTCTCTAAATACAAAATACAGCTGGGGACATGGCTCAGTGGTTGAGTGCCCCTGAGTTCAATCCCCGATAACAAAAAAATTATATATATATATATATATATATATATATATACATATTACTCAGCCTTAAAGAATAACATCGTGGTATTTACAGGTAAATGGATGGAAGTGGAGAATATCATGCTATGTGAAGTAAGCCAATCACAAAAAACCAAAGGCCAAATATTTTCTCTGATAAGTGGATGCTTATCCATAATGGGGGATGGGGGAAGGGAAGAATGGAGAAACTTTGAAATGGGCAGAGGGTAGGAAGGGGGAGGGGAACAGGTGTGTGGAGGGAAAGATGAATGAGATGGACATTATTATCCTATGTACGGGTATGATTGCATGAATGGTGGGCTGTACATGATGTATAACCAGAGAAATGAAAAGCTCTGCTCCATTTGTGTAAACAACAGCAATAACAGCAACTAAAACAACAAAAACTGATCCCCTGGCTGAGCTTGTAAATAACATCTAAGTTATTGTGATTGAAAATGCTTGAAAAAAGTATATGAGTATCAAGAAAAGAAAGAGATGTCCCAGTGTTCCAGCAGATTTCCAACAAAAAGGAAATTATGATGTGAGTTTAGGAATCTTGTACATATATAATGTTTGTATTCAGATTTTTTCACTCCCATAACCTCTGAAAAATGTAAAGAAAAGTTCCTTTTTGTTTTTGAGTGTTAGGATTATAGTGGAAAAGTGACTTTTTAAGCTCAGATGATTACAATCCACTGAATTTTGGGTGGGATTCCCACTCAGGAAATCTGATTAGAGTTTTTGCTCTGAGCTAGACAGGGCAGAAGACTCCTGAATGCAAAGATGACTATGGATAGAGTTCTATAATGTGTTCTCATACAACAGTGATGAAAATATCCATTTAATCATTTCTATATAGCACCGTTTAAAGAAATGCTCATTAGTGTTTAATTTTGTTATATGGAAATCCAGTGCACTTCCTTGCAGTTTGAATGAATCTATTACTCATGATTTTCTAACATTATTTAGGGTCTGGGAAAGGGAGTACAAATCTTTCCAGCATTACCCCCAAAGAAATCTTTGTTTTCTGTAGCCACCTACCCAACATTCTCACAAACAAACCCAAAGTTTAACCCTGCATGTGGATTAATTGAAATGTAAATAGATTTTCAGCATTGCAAGCTCCTCATGTAAATGTAAGGGATTGCCTAGGAAGGAATGAGTCCTGACCTGAGATTCAAGGTCACAGTGGGCAGCCTAAGAGCTGAGCAGTTGGTATAGCCCATTCCAAGATCAGGTGCACACAGGGATTTCCTGATGTCTGTGGGTGGCAATCAATGTTGCTGCTAAATTTTTACAAAATAAACACATATGTGTGAACATTGCAATAAAACATTTTGGAGTGATTAGAATCCTTTGAAAAGTTTATAAAGTCAGGTTTTGAAAATTGATGCCATATAGCAGAGTGATTATGCACAGATGTGGAATCAGGAATGCCTGTTATTATTATTATTACTTCATAGAATATTAACATATATTAACATAACAAATTTTAAATCTGCATAACAGCAAGGACAATAACTAAGTGTTGTCTTAAAGCTGAAAACATTAGATTAAAGCATATCAAGTGGTCACTGTTATAGAAAAATTGTCATATAATGAAAATTTCATATGTTTAATCACATAACTCTGTCAAGGATACATTAGGTAAAACTGCGTTCTTTAGTGGAAAGGTCTGTGAAGAAACAAAGATAAAAGCAATTGATGGAGTGGTAGCATTGAGAAATAACTTTTCAGTCTTCATTCCTATTCATAATGTCGTAATATTATTTATATTGTGCAATTTATTTTTCTTGTGGTATCTCTTTTTAAAATTCTTTCCATTTTTCATTAGTGCACTGTAATTATATATTAATGGTGGATTTATTGCTACATATGTACTCATACACACAATATAACAATATAATTTGGCCATTATCATTCCATGATATTTTCCCTTTCCCTCTCTTCCTCCCTCACTCTGGTCCCTTTCTTCTACTGATGTCCCTTTGATTTTCATGAGATGTCCACCCCAAAATTTATTTTACTTTTTGTCTATAGCTTCCACATATGAGAGAAAACATATGACCCTTCACTTTCTGAATTTGGCTTATTTCACCTAACCTAATATTCTCAACTTCCATCAATTTTCCTGTAAATGACATAATTTCAGTCTCCTTTATGACTTTATAAGTCTTTAGTGTGTATATATATATCATGCTTTCTTTATCTAATCGTCCAGTGGTAAACACCTAGATGGCTCCATAGTTTGGCTATTGTGAATTGTGCTGCTATAAATATGGGTATGCATGTATTGCTATAGGGGGATGTCTTTAATTCTTTAGAATAAATGCCCAGGTGTGGTATAGCTGGGTCATATGTTGGTTTCATCCTTGGTCTTTTGGGAGACCTCCATATTGGTTTCTAAGTTGGTTGGTTATACTAATTTGTATTCCCACCAACAGTGTCAAAGTCTTCCTTTTTCTCTACATGCTCTCCAACATATATTATTGTTTATATTCTTGATAGTAGCCACTCTAACTGGGGTGAGATAATTCTCAGTGTAGTTTTGATTTGAATTTTTCTGATAGCTAGAGATGTTGCAGATTTTTTTGTGTTTATTGGCCATTTGCATTTCTTCTTTAGAGAAGTGCCTGTTTATTCATTTGTTCATTTATTAAATGGGTTATTACTTCATTTTTGTTGTTAATTTTTTTGAGTTCTTCATATGTTTTGGATATTAGTCCTTTGTCAGAAGAGTAGCTAGCAAAAATTTTCTCTCATTCTATAGGTTCTCTCTTTCTTTCTTAATTGATTCCTTTTAGATTGTTGTAAGTGTTTTTTTTTTTTTTTTAATTGGTGTCATCCCATTTATTTCAATTTGGTATTATTTCCTGAGTCTTAGGAATCCTTTGTGAATATCATTGCCTGCTCTTATATGTTGGAGTGTTGACCCTATGTTTTCTTCTAGCAGTTGCATATTTTCTGGTTTAATTCTTTGCTTGACACATTTTTGAGGATTTTTTTGTGTGTGGGGTGAGAGACAGGTATCTAACCTCATTCTTCTACACATGGATATCCAGTTTTCCATCACCATTTGTTAAAAAGGCTACGTTTTCTGCAACAAATCTTTTTAGTGTATTTGTCAAAGATCAGATGATTGTGTCTGTACGGCCTTTTCTCTGTCTCCAGTATTTCCCATTGGTCTATGTATTTCATTTTATGCCAGTACCATGCTGTTTTTGTTACTGTAGCTCTTTAGTATAATTTGAGGTCAGGTATTGTGATGCCCCCAGCATAGCTATTTTTCCTTTTTCCCACTTGGATACTGTAGATCTCTTACTCTTACATATGAATTTTAGGACATTTTTTTCTAAATTCTGGGACGAATGCCCTTGGTATTTAATGGGGAGTGCATTGCATCTCTATATTGTATTTGGTAGCACCATCATTCTGACAGTATTATTTTGGGAGTTCTTTCCGTCTTCTAGTGTCAATTTCTTTCTTTAGATTTCTATAGTTTTCATTGTAGAGTTCTCTCACCTCTTTGTGTAGGTTTATCCCAGGCATTTTATTTTTGTTGAGGCTATTGTGGATGGGATTCTTTTTCTGATCAGATATAGGAATTATATGTAAAGATAGTGGCCTGATGAAGTAGAATGCCATTTATGTGTAAAGTTTTGAATGAACTAAGTTTTTCTAAGAAAGATAATTTTAAAATCAATATTTCTTATAGTTAAAAATACGGCATCAGGATGCATTAATAAGCATTCTGAATTATATACACATTATGGAGTCTCCATCAAGTTATCAGATATCCACCAGTTATAGAAAATATCTGTGCAAATATTAAAATTTTGATGTATTAATTTACATTTAAAATTAAAGTCAGACTCACAGGAAATTGATTTGTACATGTTACAAAAATAGATTCCCTAGAAACATAAACCCTAGATTTAATAAAAGTTATATTTCCAACTAAGCTATGAAATAATATTGTTCTAGCATATTTTAAGAACTTCTGTATCTGTTGCATCATTCATCTCAAACAGAAATTATCAAAAATTCAGTTCATAGTCTTACATTGAGTAAAAGTTCTTGACATAACTTTTAATTATAGTGCTTAA